CGTTCAAGAGTTATTTGACAGCAACTTGATATGTGCATCCTGTACATATTGCATGATTTGAGCAGAGATCCTTTGTGTTTGCTGTGCGTCCGTTTTGCACTTGTCACCTGTTTTATAAACATTGCGACTGTTTACCAGCAATAAACAGGAGGAACACTTCACCATATATTGTCCGTGCAGTAAGAACATTATACAGTAAAAGCCTATTCTTCAAAAATGGGTTGTTCCAAACTCTTCCCTATCTTTCAGTGATCAGATAACATGTTAGTTCAACGGTGCACATGTGCTAAGACGAGGATGTCAGTCATAACTGGTCATTCTTTGCTTCCTACTGGCCTGCATTGTTACATGAATTCTCAGCATGTTATTCCCTCACGGCAGCTTTTTCCTCGACTCCTGACAACGCATCACCTTGACCTTTAACGGGTGAGTGAACATCCCTGAGGGAAGCTAAACAAAAGGCCATCACTGTGTTTCCTACTGATATCGCTGATGTGATATCAATTGGTATCTTGTAGAGAGGGGGATTTGCTTCGAAGCTGCATGAAGCTCTCTTCATCTCACAGTCTGTCTGGTTAGAGGCTGTCACCGTGTATAAAAAAAAAGAAAAAAAGAGGTGGCGGGGGGTGTGGGGAGGGGGCTTAACCACCACCCATCACCCAAAGGGCCGCATGGGAGGGCAGCGGGAGCACTGATTGAGAGCAGCACCTGTCAGGTGAGTGTTTCGCAATTTGACGGTGCAGAAAGAGCGTCGAATGGACTGCTTGCACCGCGAATCTCTGACGTGGCGACCCACCGGGCTCCCGCGGGTCGCCGGAGGGCGGATGCCATGAACCTGCACACAGAGGCTCATCCCGGGACCACATCTCTGCTAATCTAATCTCCCCTACAAAAAAAAAAAAAAGCGCCAATATGCTCTAAATGCATGTCATTATCATCATCATGATTCTAGCACTAATTCTGTGTTGTGGGTAACGTGCTGCAGCGGCGCCCTCGCGGGACATGTCTGAGAGACTGAGTGATTAAAACATGTATGATGAAGCACGCATCAAAACGTCCCTGCAGGCTTCCACGCAAGATACTTGTAAGCGTCTCCGATGCCACTTGGAGGCAGCCCACAGCGGAGGAGGTGCTCGAGTGAGGCTGATGAAGAACCCCCACACCCCGGTCATCGCAAGCATGCAGTTAGATATGCAATGGGACTGACCTGAGCTGACCTCATCTGTATCCACAAATCCGCATTATACCTTCGGTCATGACTTGAGTGGCCGCTACTCCGCCGACGTTAGGGGAGGAAAAGCCGATTTTCTATTTCAATCAAAGCCGGTTTTCTCCGGCCTGCGTGTATGTGTTTCTGTGTGGCTGGAAAGGCGAGGATAAAGTTTTGTGACAGCATTTGATGAATGTTTAATCCAACATTCATACATGGCAAACTGGGATTTGGTTCCCCAGTCAACCTCCCGGCAAAGACACACAGCAGGTGTGTGAAATATTCATTCACGACACGCTTCATTAACAATGAAACACGCCGTGGTCGCCTTTCATGTATTCATTTCGATTATTGAAACAAAAGACAGAAAGATGGGCCATTAAAACATAGTGGGCGTGCTATTCTATATTTGTCTTACAGATTTGTAACCATTTGTTTTGTGACAAATAACTCTGTCTGCTGAAATCCCGTCGAGCCACACAGCGTTCGCGTTGCGCGCTGTGACAAATGTCTACCGCGACACTTCGGCTCTGCATGCCACGACAGCAGTTTGACCCCTGACCTGTCCAGGAACATCTGCTAACTCGTCACATCAAGCATTCTGATTAATGCCCGAGTCATGTACTAATCACTGTTGCTATTTGTATTAATTAACACCGCAAAAAGACAGTGAATGATTTGTCATCTGCGCTGACTGACAGCAGAGGAATCGAGTGACAGATGTCATGCCTTCCAGGGATGGAATCTGTTAGCTTGACTTCACAAAGTGATGGCTATGTCACAATGGAGTGTCGGGGCCTTTTCAGGATAGACCCCGCCTCTTTGAATGGATGCGTCATGTAGATTACCAAATTTCCCAGTGGAGATCATTAAAGTTTCATCTAATCTCATTTAATTAAAACAAGAATGTGCAAGTCCTTGACACGCTGTCCAAAGCTATATTGTTCGACCGCATCAGGGCTCTGTTGAAGTCATAAAACAAACAAAAATGTTGTCATGTGACATTTCCAGACACAGTTTTAAGGTCAATGCACCTTTATAGAAAAGCCCATACATACATCGTATTATTGCCAACCAAAATGGTGCACGTTAGCCTTTGCTCACAGACTATCTACATTTTGCTGGTTTTGGTGAATAAATAATGCGACGGCAGGATTCACTCCAGTGCAAAAGCAACTGCCGCCTTTGTTGTTTTGAACACCCTTTTCACATCACACTAAACCAGTGGTGCCCAACCTTTTCTGACCAAAGATCTACTCTTCGATCAACCAACCAAATATGCAGGTATATTAATAATGCACACAGGCACACAAATATATTTTTTTCTCCGATTTCCCTCTATACTCCTCGCGATTGAGTTGAGACCACTCCGCAAGCTACCGGTCGATCGCGATCAACGTATTGGGCACCCCTGCACTAAACAGGACCATTTTCTTAAAACTCTGAGTCACTGCGAAGTCGCACCAGTAAAAAAAAAAATCATGGAGAGGGGGCGGGGGGGGATCTTGAGCATAAGTTGAATTTTTGTGTGTGTGTGTGTGTGGGGGGGGGATGTTTCTACAAAAATCAAGATCAAGATTTCTTACTCGCAACCCAAATCCCGTCCACCAATCGTAATTGCATTCGCAATTGTGTGTGCTAAATACGAATATAATCCTCCTTGAAGCAAAATGACACCGCATGGCAATTTTGCGCAGTTGGCAGATCCGGGCTGAGCACAATGAGTACATCGGCTGCCACAAGTGTTGGCATGAGTAATCACATTTCTGCCCGCCTTTCCACGCGCAAACCTTTCGCAAAACAGGCCCTCTGCGGCGGAATGTGATTGGCATTCAAGTGGAGCGATGAGTTCAAAAGGACATCGTCTCAGAGATCATGCACGTGTTCTCCCCATTTGATCAGCGCCGGCTCTGACAGCTGACGGGTCAAAACTCCACAATAATCACCTTGTGCATAAAAACGATACATCTGTTTTACATTTTCACATTAAAGCGCCTACACCTTTTCTTCCTCGCGGAGAAACATGAAGGCGTCGCCCTCCACGTTTGTCTTCCCTCTCACGGTTGATTACCACTTCTGTTTATGGCTGCAAGATGTACTCGCCATCAGTTATTGTGAATATTTATCTGAGGTATTTGACGCATACTCAGGTATGACAGCTGTGACATAAAATGAATTGGCTGTTTACAACCTTTCTCCTCACAAAACCATCTGGGAAGGGCTGGATAAAACCTGGGCAGGCATTTTCAATTGGCCTGCTTTGTTTGAAGCTTGGTTCTCTCCCAAGGTTATGAACGAAAAGTCTATTTTTGAAAGCCCATCGCAAATTAAAACCTACATCGGAATCAGGGTAGTGAATATTTGATCTAGGAAGTCATATTGTTTTCTGGCAGCCTTGATCTCTCAAACAGTGCAACTTTGGGAAACAAATGCAAATAGATCATGCGGGCAAATAAAAACGAATAACATACGGGCAGTGTTTAGGTTTAGGCTTAGTGTAGTCTATTTTACTTGTCATTCAGTGGACTTTCAGCATGTTTCTGAGTTTGTAGCATCCATATTTCCAGCATCCTTGGGTAATATATCGGCGGAATTTTCACTCGTTCTCAATTTGATGAACATGTTTGAACAATCTGTGTGTGTTTTTATAATCTTACTTTGAGCTGAGGATCTGTGCCAATCGGCACTCCCCCTCTCATATTTTCCGTTGTCTTATTCTCGTGTTAGAGGCCTATGAATGTTCCAGCTTGAACATGAAAAACTTGAGATGACACTAAATGGTGGACACATGAAAGTCTACACACCCCCGTCCAAAGGAATTCAAGCCTCACAAAGACCAAATGTAACTGTTTACATTGACCTTTCAGAGTATATTATCTCAGCGTCATTTAGAGAGGTTAGGTTTACATTTTGAAGCAGATTTTCATTTCATTTCATTGTTCATGGTTCGGACAACATGATGCAGATGCGTTCGGAGATATACCATATTTGAGAAAATTTATAATCACATTTGTACCGATGAAATGTACATGGAGCGTTTCTCCCATGTTGCATTTTCTCCATGGCGACAGAAAATGTGAAAACGCTGCAGATAAATGAATGTACAGTATAGTATTAGACAGCCCGAGCAGCGATGCAAGATGTCCAGCTTCACTTCACACTATGGCGAGTAAGAGGCATTGTGAGTCATTAAAATGGCAGGCTAATTTTTTTTTTTTATCCACTGCACATTAGTTTGCATTGCATTTGCATTTTAAAACTCATTCACTCCCAAAGACGTTTTTTATATGTCTTTTCAGACCTGGTTTAGAATTGGCTGGTACTGAATGAGTTTTTAATGCACTTAGTACAGCATGGTTGGTTGTAAGTGCACTTACACTAAAGAAATGCAAGGATTTATATTATAAGCAGATAATTAATCTTAATCTAATTACAAGCAACAAACAAAAAAAGTGTAAACGACAAACCAATAGGCAACGTAAAATAAACATACGGTACTGTACAAAAATTAGTTTTTTTTATATTTGGGGAAAACGAGGAAATGACGTCGCTGATGACGCCATTTCCCCCCAAAAAACAACAAATATGGCGGCCCCCGCTGATCCTGCTCATGTTGCAGATACTCAGCCCACAATTGACCTGATTCAGATGGATTTAAAATCCGCCGAGGATAGTGTCGCAAGTACGCGGGACGTGCCGGTGAAACGCGATCCGGCAGTCCCGCTCTTGTCCCCGCTGAGCGGCACCCAGTCGCTTGTTTGGTCGCAGGATCACCGGCTAGCAGTGTGTACCGCCAGCTCCTTGGCAGTCATGGAGCTCGTTTGCGACATTCATAGCAGAAAACAGGAGCTGATATTCAACAGGACTTCAATTCCCGTACCCCTCAAAACTTACGAAATGCGGGTAATTATGCTTTTACTTTGATCACTTCAAACACGAGGGCAACGGGCTCAAAAACGTCTACAAAGTTTGACTACAGTCAGCCGTAGCTCAAATAGTCTACTTTTGTCAAGTAAAGACGAGTACACGTGTGGGGAGAAAAAACGACTCCGGTAGAAGCAGCGATTGAACTATTTTTCATTAAGGCAAACACGTGCAGCCTCTGAAATAAACCTGAATCCAAAAATAAATCTGACTTGTTGCTGCTAATTTCAGTATATACCCATTTTGATAAATGTGCTCACAGTAAGAACATAGATGGCTTTCGTTGGATGAGGTTTTTATGCCATCAAAACGTCTTCCCATAGCTTTCGTAATGTTGTGTCGCATTAAAAAAAGATGCATTTGCTAACGGTAGCAGAAACTGTACTGTATTTGTGTTTTTTTCCAGATGAGCAAGTTTTATAACACAAGAATAACTATTATGCGGCACACAAAAGGAATAAACTGCCATCAAAAGTTAAGTCAGTCCAGAGTACAAATGCTTTTACATCCAGGTTAAAAACTTTGCTTATTTTCCCCATACTTTCGATTAAAGTCCTTTTTTTAAAATTATTTTTTTCTTGAAGTTATTTCAGAAAGTTCGTACCTGTACTTGCATTTCTTTACTTTTCTGTTAACGTGTTTAAATGGTGTCGATATACATTCCGGTCATTTTTGGAAGGTACTTTTATTGTCTCTGTTTGTATCTGCTTGTAGTTGTCTTTGCTTGTGTGAAAATTTGAGTTTCAAGTGTGCTATATAAATAAAACTACCTTGTCTTGCTTTTCCTACATGCTGGTGTTTGTTTTTTCTTTTTTTTTTATGGTTGAAGGAGCCACTCAGAGTGTGGTCGGGTGCCACCAGTTGCTCATCCCTGAATTACGTATTCTGTAGAGGTTTAAAAAGAGTAGCAGACCTCTTGATAGAGTAAGGAGAATAAAGTGTTCAAATGTAGAAACTAAAAGTTATGGTCTTTTCAAACTACATGACTTTTTGTCGTTCATGACGGTCACACTGTCAGACTAGCAGGTGAATATCATTGGACTTAAGCTAGATGTCACACGACAAGTCCGTCACTGACCAGATGCTACCCAATTGTCGCGTACTAATGACAAGATTCAGTGCACCGGCGCGGGGCTGGCGGCTGTCAAAGTCTTGTCGACGGAAGCATTATATGCACGTACGTTTTGTTTTCTGCTCAGAAAAGTCAAAAGAATTATTAAAAAAAAAAAGAAGATATAACGGACCTGCTCCTGAATGGTGGCGAGAGGGCGGTATGGATTCTCCCAAAGGAACTCGAGGTAACAAATTTGTTGAATGACACCACGTTTGCTCATCAGCTACTAGCTTTGCAGTTGGAGTGTTGCAGAGGAGGGTTCTCGTCATAAACCGGAGGGCACTGTCTACCTCTTGGTGCCTCACGAACAATCGTTGTCACGACATGGGCTATGACGCGTCAAGGCAACTCAAAATCGTCTACGAGACACGACATTTGTCTGTTGGCTCAAAATCCTGTCGTCTGATGTGGGCATTGGTTGTCAGAAAAATAAACACTCACGCGAATTACAAGGACAGACCCTTGACTGGTGAATGCAATTTGATAATGCAGAGATCGCTTCTCTTTTTGATGACCTTTGGATTTCTCCTCGTAATTGTTATGTGTGTGTATGTTAAATGTATAGGTTGGAGCCCCAACAGAGCAGAGGAAGGCCATGAAGCACTTTACCGCGCACTCCGACCTGCCCACCAAGCAAGAGTTTCAACTGGATCGAGTGATGAATCCCTTGGGAGGAGTCCACAAAGGAATTAAATACGCCAGTTGGTCGCCTCTTGGCTGCGATTCCAGCGGGCGCTGCTTGCTAGCGTGCCTAACTCTTGACCACAGACTCACCGTCCATCACAGCCACCAGCGTCTCGGATGGAGCACGCTGGTCGATCTCAGCGCTAAATACGGCGAGATGCTACAAGAACGAGGTTACGCCCAACTGGATGCCAAGCCGCCTGAGAAAAACCTGTTGGACTTTGAGGAGCTGCAGTGGCGCTACCAAATGCAGACCCCTGTGAGGATGGAGTGGTCCGGCGTTTACACGCTCAAACAGGTGCAGCCCGACAACTCCTGCGTTCATGTGAAGATGGTCCTCCTCGCCGTCCTGATGGAAAACGGCGACCTCGTTTTGTGGAAGTTTGCGCTGCCCTTTGAGAACGGCGCCGATGTTGTTTTTTACGACGCCATCGCGTCAGGTGTGAGCTCTCCCAGCGATTTGGCCTGGTGGGAATATGAACACGCCGACCGGCGAATGAGCGGCTTGATCGTCGGCAGCGAGTTGGGCCCCGTGACGATCATGCCGGTCAGCTTGGCGGGGGTCAAAGGTTACTTCACCCTGCGACACCCCGTCATCCTCTGGAAGGAGTGTGACCGGATGGCGGCGGAGAACATCAAATGCGTCCCGTTGGTCCACCCGCTTCACAAAACGAGATGCAGCCTCATCGTGGCGTCTCGCGGTTGCTACGTCCTCTGGTGTTTGCTCACGATTTCGCCAGCCGGACTAAACGTGAACATCTCTCACCTGGCGGGCCTCTACTCCCTCCCCGTGGTGTCGCTCGCCGTCAGCCGGCACGGCGTCGTGTACACGTGCTCCACCGACGGCTGGATCAAGAAGCTGACGCCAAAATTCACAGAAAGAACTTTGACTTTCCAACAAGAGGAGATGTTGTGCCCCGAAGGTTTGACGAACCGACGTCTGTATGGGATTGCGGTGAGCCACAACGAAGCGTATCTCGCTCTGGTCAGCACGCAACGTTTGGTCGACTCATTTCACCCAATTCTCAGCAACTACCACGTGCACTTTCTCGCATTGAAATTGCCAGAAACAGCAGCCGGGCTTCTGCTCAAATCCCCCACCGAGAACCTGTACAAGGAGGCCGACCTGCTGGACCTTGTGAGGTGGAACGTCTTAAAGAACAAAAGTATTCCTCGGGCCTTGCAGCAGGAGCTTGAGCAGAAGATCCGAGAGGTGGACTCCCCTTACCTCTGGCGCTTGAAGCTGTTTTTGCTTCGTTTTCTGCACCAGTCCCTTCAGACGCCGCAGACAGTCCGCCACTGGAAACCTTCTCAAGAGGTCTGCGGTGCACTCATGCAGGACCAGGACGGTGAAGAGGACAAAGATTTGGCCGGCGAGTGCCACGCTATCGGCGAAGCGAATCCGGACGAGCAGGTGGAGCAGGTGCGGGCGGGGATGCGTTTGGTGGAGAGCCACCTTGTGAGAGAGAACATGAAGAAGTTGCTTGGGGAGGTCTACCTCAACACGCACATAACGCAGAAGACGTGCATTCCCACCAGCGGCCTGGCTGAGCACCTCTTGAAGGTCTCCGATGACAAAAATGCAGAGGTAACACCCTCTTCACCATCTTCCATCAAATGAATGGGGCTGACACGCCTTTGCGCCTTTTGTTGTGATGGATGAAGTTAGATGTCCGAGTGCGGGGGTCGGCAACACGCGGCTCCAGAGCCGCATGTGGCTCTTTAGTGAAAACTAGTGGCTCCCTGGAGCTTTATAAAAAATGTTTGAAAATGGAAAAAGATTTTGATAGTAGGCTAATATAGCTCAAATAGATATAGATACATGATGCAGCTCCGAAAAAGGAGAGCTGTGGTGTTGGTTTTTTTTTTAAAACGTACACTTTATTGATGCTTTTAACAGTCTTGACAAACGCGAACACAGACACATCTGCGTCCGACTCCGTGCCTTCTTCTCTCTTCTCTTTCGACTCGCGAGGCGTTCAAAGACAGCCTCCGAAAAACGGAAATGAATGATCACTTCAATGACACTATGAAAAGCGGATATAATGCACCAAAACAGAAAATCAAGCAAGGAAATCACAAAATAAATTCTATGGGGGCGTTTGTGAACACACGACAAAGGAATGAATAACATCAACAATTCGGAGACAGTCCAGTCTCCTACATACGTACAGCATGGGTTTGTTTCCTTCATTGTAAGTTTTATAGAAGGCTTTTATTTTGTTGCGGCTCCAGACATGTTTTTTTTGTCCTATATGGCTCTTTCAACATTTTGGGTTGCCGACCCCTGTCCTAGTGGCTATCTTTTCTCTTCAAGTTGCAAACCTTGAACATTCCTTTTTTTTTTTTTTTTTTTGTTCTTGTCATTTTTGGAAATCAATCTTGAATCCAAATTCACTAATCGTCCTCTGTGATGCTTCATGACCTGCCCTCTGCATTCTGCATCAAAGCATACTAGTGGGTAGCTAGTTTCATGCGCCCCCCCCCCCCCAAAACAATTTTCTTAAGTACTAGTGCAGGTTGGTGCGAATTCAGATAAAAAAAAAAATATATATATAATTAAACGGTATCAGCGATAACATATCGCAATGGAACACTTCGCTACTGATCAGTCATCCACAGTTTCACAAATCATGGTCGAAGTCAAAATTGTTCAAACGTTTGAGACGTATTTTGCACAAATTTGGTCACTACCAAATCCTACAACTTTTTTGGGGGGGATGGGGGGGTTCAACCTTTAAGGTACTACCGAAATGAGAATTGAAATAATCTGGTCTCGCATCAAATTGTTTCCATTCGTTAAGTTCACACGCAAGTAACGTGTTTTATTTGACACAAATCCAGTGGCACCTTGAGACGTGATCAGTGACCCAATTTACACTTTTTTTCAAGATGCGAATCGTGTATTGGCTTTTTTTTTTCTTATTCTTGCTTTGCGAGCGTAAACTTGAGATCGGAGTGATGTAGGGCAGCTGACATAACTCGCCTCACAACAAGCGGGAGTTTGGCAGATTTATATCATATAAATATTCAAAAACAGCTTAAAGACGTTTATAGGCATACCGGATGGGTACTTTTTTTTTGTGCTGACCGATAAGGGTCCGTGCTACTGAGTGCTTCTAGATACGTTTGAGCTAATGAAAATCTCTTATTTAATGCTGTTCACTGATAGAACTGTTCAGTACATGAAATCATGGCCACCTCGTCCTCTTGCACTTCAAAGTAAATCTCACTCGTAGGGCTCTTGGATTCAACGTGTCCATATGTTTGTCTGTGGGCTCTTAGGTCCTGATTGGTCACATCAAGAAAAAGATGAACAAGCAGACGTTCCCAGAGTGCTGCAGCTTGTGTCAAGAGGTGCTGCCCTTCACCGACCACAAGCAAGCGGTGTGCCAAAACGGTCACATGTGGCTCAGGTAGACAGCCCGCACCCAGCATTTGACACTTTTGGGACCCCGGAATTAAGACCCCTCTTTTTGCTATTTGCACATGCGACCCATTCATTGCTTCAACTTTCTGTGTCGGGATCTCGTTTAGGTGTGTGCTCTCCTATCAGGCGTGCCAGTCTCTGACTTTCAGACGCTGCCTCTTGCAGGATAGCATCTCTGGAATCCCACAGTACGAAGGTCAGCCGCTCGTCCTGTCCTATTCCTTTTGGGTTTATAACTGCCTGCCATCTGATGCTTTTAAGGAAACTGCAGCAACTCAAAAATTAGGACCTGGTGCGAATTCAGATTAAAAAAACAAAATAAAACTGTATCAGCAATGACGTAACACGAGGGAACACTACTGCTACTGATCAGTCATCCACAACTCAAAAATTAGGACCACCACTTTTGCGTTTGTTTTTTTCTCTTTTGAAACTGTGTATGGCCCAAAATTTTGCACTGGGACCGACCACACACCCTGGAGACCCCCCTACTGCTCCCATGCTCCGAACTGATTGAACGTTATGTAGGTATATGTGCATCAGGGGCAAAATGGGAAAATGATGCCCCTGATCCCTCTTGACAGCGCCACAAAACAAGCTTTGTCCCAGATGTTTCAGGTTTTGATGTTGGTATGATCACAAATTCGCATTTTACAACACCCAGAAGGCATCTGATGATGTTCTGCCAACTGGATGAAAATGCAAGGGAGGAAGAGCATATGCTCATCAGTTAGCGGCGGTCTTTAAATCTCACAAACGGGCATTGTGCTGCAGGTACTAGGGTCATTCAATAAATAAGGTGATTTTTTTGGATAGACAGAAGCTTACTTTTTTTTCTTTCTTTCTTCAACATAGTCTCCCAGCACTGTGACACACTTTTCCCATCTGTGCACAAGCTTCCATATTCTCTCAGCGTAAAAATCCTTGGACTGATGTCTCAGCCAGTCGCTCACAATACTTTTGACTTCATTGTCACTTTCAAACTTGGTGCCTCTCGTGAACGATTTTATGGGGCCAAACAGGTGAAAGTTTGAAGGGGCAAGATCTGGGCTGTAAAGGGGATGAGGGAGCAGTTCCCAGCCCAGCTTGTTGATGGTCTGCACCGTTTGGGCTGCCGTGTGAGGCCTTGCATTGTCATGACGCAAGATGACTCTTTCTGACTGATGACCCCTGCGTTTGTTCTTTCTGTCTTTCTTGACCTGCCTCAGCAGTTTGCAGTAGTTGGCACCAAGTTTGAAAGTGACGATGAAGTCAAAAGTGTTTGTGAGCGACTGGCTGAGACATCAGTCCAAAGATTTTGACGCTGAGGGAATATGGAAGCTTGTGCACAGATGGGAAAAGTGTGTGACAGTGCTGCGAGACTTGTTTGAAGAAAAAAAAAGTAAGCTTCTGTCTGTATTAGAAGCCCTTATACTGAAAAATTCACCTTATTTATTGAATGACCCTCGTACAAATAAATTCACTTGGGTCTCAGCTTACACTCAGAACTCAAAACATCAAATCAGGGACCATTTCAAGCAAGTTTTCTTGAAGTAGACATGGATTCGAATTCTATATTGGGGCTGTGAAAACGTCTATGCAAGGGGCACATTCTTGAGTTTAAAAACGTGGCTGTGAATCATCCAAAATCGCTTTCATAAAATAATGGTTGAAATGTATTATTGAGTATAAATTCTCAGTTAGTAACCTATTATTTAATACAGTAAATAAACACACCGCTAAATTAAAGCCACCAATCAATGCCACATATTTAGTGGTGGTTGGCTGTGTACCGAAGAAACGCATTCGACAAATGTCACCGACATCGTAGAACTGCCTGATACAAGTGGAAAGGTTTTGTTCAAAGGTAGCTTTTTTTTTTTTTTTTAATATTGCATTGTTGATTTGTTCCCCCCCAGACCCACCGTGGATAAAGAAGATACTCCAGACGTCGTGCTCGCTCTGCGACTCGCCAATGATCTAGAGACGAACGACCGCGGCGCTATCGGCGCCTTCCCGCAAAAAAAAACGCCTCCGGTTTACAATCGCTTCAACGCGACTCTTAATTATATCATGTTGATATTTATGTCTTCAAATTGGAAATAAAAGTCTTTGAAGATATGGTGACGCTTGTATTTTGTCACCAGCGGAGCCTGTAAATGAAGCTGCCGAGGCTTTGAATTAGTATTTTAATGAGGTCAAATGTGGACTCAAAACTTGCTAGCCCCCCCCCCCCCCAAAAAAAAATCTCACTCAGACACTCATTGTACAAGGATACAAAGGCAAGTTTGAAATGTGGTTATATCTGGAGGCTTTCATTATTCAGTAGAACTGGAGGGCACCATAAATAAGTTGCCTCGTTCCGCCAACACACACACACACACACACACACACACACACACACACACACACACACACACACACACACACACACACACACACACACACACACACACACACACATTTCTCCTGTATTTCCAAACCTTTGGTGTAGTTTTATTGCAAGTAAGTGGAACTTACTTACCGCTAGACCTATTTTAGTAATATTATACTTTTTTTTTTTTTTTGAGTGCAACAAATAATACATTCTGAATAAAACATAGTCTTGGCAAAAAAAAAATCTTCGCGTACCTACTTTAATTGGCAGCGTAAAACAATTTCCATGCTTTGGGAGGAGGAGGAGGGCGGCGGTGCTCAGTCATTCTTTCAGATGAGGACTTCCGCTAATGTAAACGCAGAATAGAAGAAACGGCGAGGCAGATGAGATGAGCAAGAGGCAGGAAGAAAGTGAAAAGTGTGCTTAAAAACCTGCCGTGCTACCTCCCGCGGGAGCGGCTTGTAATGAGATTCAGCAGTAATGAGGGACAGAACATGGTGCCAGATGTGATTCTAATTCTAATCAAGTAGGGGAGGGTGGTGGCGAGGGCGTGTGAGCATATTGTTAGGTACAATTTAAGTTTTTTTTTTTTTTTTTCAAATTTGGAGGAAGCGGGGCCTATGGGGAGTGGGAACAGTCTTGGTGGCATGTTCTCCAGCCCTCTGTTGGGCCCATTTCCTTGCAGTGTGATGTGTTGGCATCTTGGGATCAAAGAGCAAGATGGGCCTGAGAGACCACGCCCCTTTTTTTCCCCCTTTTTTTAAGGACCCACAGTCGAGCAGAGAATATTATCCTGACCTCGCTGCAGGTATTCACTTCAACTCCAGAACAGTGGGTGGTCCGCTACAAAAAGTGTTTCCAGAATTCAGACGGTGTACAAAGTGTTGTTGTCGAAGCTACCTAACACTCCACTTCCTGCAGTACTGCTTATGTGGTATGGTATGGACACGTAAGTTATCAACATGCTGAAAACGTGGCACGGCACATAATTTACGGCATGGGTGCCAAACCCATTTTTGTCGCGGGCCACATTTTAGTTAACGTTTGCCTTGGAGGGCCATTTTGACTGAAATCATATAAAGAAGTCAAGAATAACGATTTATTCAACTATTGTTTAAGTTGCTGTAATGAGGTATTTGGCAAGAAGAAAATGCTTACAATATCTATCTTATTTATTACATATGAGAATTAGAAATTTTGGTCCATATTTTAGCAAGCATCATGGAAGTTGCCATGTTTGATTTGCCTTCTCGGACCGCATAAAATGATGTGGCGGGCCAGATCTGGCCCCCGGGCCTTGACTTTGACATGTGTGCTTGACGGGATATCACTCCCTCAGACATCCACAATGCCTCACTATGTTCAAGATGCAAATAACGTCAGGTTTTCGGTTGAGCGCCTTTAATTGAGTTCGAGGGTGTCATCAAATCAAGCATCCTCGTGTATTTCCGTATTCATTTACTATGAGTTTTGTGGCATGCACAAAACATGCCATTTATTTAAGAGGCAGTTCCCTTAGTGGGGAAACATAATACCGTCAAATTGAAGTAAATATATTCTGCGCAGCAACACTTTATCAGACGTGAAGAGCAAGTGGAGTCTGATTACTTAACTGGAAAGAGTAACGCAGCAGATACATTACAAATGGCTGTTTACCGACATCACTGGTTGCATTGTTTCAAACAATTTGAACGGAGCTGGCCTACTTTGAGGTAACTGCTGCGGAAACATTTCCCATTCTGTGGCATGTTTACAGCTGCCCTTTATTTGAACGGTGATCCACGAGGGTTTCGTCTGCCTTCCAGCCTATGTCAGCTTGGGGCAGGCTCCAGCTGTGCGCCTGACCAGGATTAGCAGTCAGACGAGTGGAGGTTTACTTCCCAAAAGTCTGAGCAAAATAACTTTAAAAATACGACAGCATCTCGTTTGGGTCAAGGCTTTTTGTGCTGCCTGTGCGTTCGGATGTGAGGTTGAAGTTCCTGTCACGGAATCTGTGGAGGCAGACCGAGGGCGGCAGTTTTTGGTTGATCCTCCTCCTACTTCGACAATCAACTTGCCAAAAAGCACCTCTACCAGTAATTACCTGCTTCTCCTCCCATCTCCCCCACCATCTCGCCTCCCAAGGCTTCAAACGGGTCTATTTTTTTTTTTGGCTCTCTTTACATACAATATTTATACCCTTTATGTTAGTGTCAGGATGGCGCGGCTCACTAATGGAACCTTTTCACACCTTAATTCCATGTGATATTCCTTTTGTTTACACTTGATTTGGAACATGATCCTCCCCGCCGTATTGTCTCAAGAGTATCAGTTCATTGCGTCGCGTTCAGTTTATGCTGGGAAGCGAAGCCCGCATCACCTGATGTGATAATGATGCGTTTCAGTGTTTTCTGTTCACAGGGGTCTGGTTAGCAGAGTGGGAACCAGCTGCCATGAAAGACATTCGGTTTCGACATGTCTGCTACTACTCCCGGATTTTCACTCCCATAAATTCCACATCTGTCATACTTTAAAAATATTTCATGAAAAGCAGTGTGTTTTTCAAAAGCCACGAATCAATTTTGCTATCACTTATCTGGGGTTGGCTGGTGCGGGCAGCAACCGACAGTATGCACAGAGGCCCAGAAGCCTCCTCGTGACTGCCTCAGAGTCTGCTCTTTCCCTTTCAGAAGCTCCAAAATTACATTGGTGGATGACGGTATGTCATGCAAATTTCTGTTTCTGGCATTTCAAAAATGTCTACACAGGCCGGCGATGCGAATCCATTTGCCTTTTTTAGACACGTAATGTAAAGATGCAAAATTATCCATCGTGATTTGCCACAAGTTTGATGAACGCCATTGCACTTACTGAATAGATTTGCTTATCCATTACTACCAAAATGCACAAAATTAACAACCGTGCAATTTTGTGCTTTTGGCAGATGAAGTCTTGATTGGTCCTGCTTAGTACTGTTTGCGCCCATTTCTGCACACGCAAAATTTCACTACATCAGCACCATCGATTTCCAGCATGTCCTGGGTTTCAAATTCGTAATTTCAATTTTGCTTTTGGTTCTGTTGTGTTGTTTGATCGAAATAATAGGTGCCGTATCTGAGGCCGTGGTACAAATGGATGCGCGCCGCCGTTTTGAGACACATACATACTTGTCCGTGTTAATGAAGTCAATATGCAAGGTTGCCTTCTGCACTCTGGCGCTCAACGGGTGAACATGCTTGTCTAACTGGTTGACTTTCCTGCTCTGCCATCCCCGGGGAAGGGGAGGGAGGGCGGTCAGTGACCCGAGAAGGACTGAGGCGGCGCTTGTGTGTCCCATCATTAGAGTCCCGATTTGTTCGTGGCTTGCAGAGCACCGAAGTGGAACTAATACTGAACAGCAGAAAGGACATGGAGAGGGTGGGCCGCTTTTTACTGCTACATTAATTAAGCCGGCTCTCAACATGCTCCCTGTCTCCTCTTGTTCTGCTGTAATTAAGTTGGGGGGGTACGGCCGCCGCCACCTCTGCGGTGTTGAACAAACGCTCTCTTTAAGAGGCACTACATTTACTCAAGTAGTGTGTTTTGGAGCCTGATGAGGTTTCACAGTTTACGTTGCAGCTCATTTTGTGATTGCTTAGTACAAGCATGCAAATGTTAACGTGGCATTCAGATTTGAAAATGCAAAATGCACATCCGTGTCGTCATTTCTTATCCATCAACAAACAAAATCCGGTATGGGACACTTAGTGAATGAAAGATTGCACTTTTGATGCAAGGGATACATTGAGACAAATAAAAATTGGGAGAGAAACGCATTGATGACACGGCATTGCAGCAAGGCATGAACATGTTTTATCAGATTGATGTCCTGACTGTGGGATCAGTTCAGAAAAAGAAAAATAGGTTTTAATATGCGCTTTTATTTTCATTTTTTTCCCCTTGTGTGGATGGGCACCCACCCTGTGTTGACCACAGTGTTATCGTCCAAACATGAGCTCACTATACATGACTCATGCTTTCAATTCAGTTCAGTTGTGTCGACGTATGTAATATGAAGTGATTAATTATGCATTCTCAATATGATGATTTTCACATTCAACAGCCCTATGAAAGAAAACATGAGGACCGCATAGCCAGCAATGAAAATTAATTTGACACTGACGCAGTCAAAATCATGCCAACCTCCCCACGTGGAATGCGAGAAGACAAATATTGTGCTAAAATGGCCGTAATGGCTCCTCTTTAAATCGCTAACAGGAATAAATACTTCGTTTATTCTGGAATTCCAAATGAAGGTCTTGTTGCCGCATTTTCAGGTGTTAAGTCTCGTTTGGCTAAGATTTGTTTGATGTGGCTCTGAGAGGGATTGATGGACAGTTATGTCTTCATTGCGTATGGATGGAAAATTTTGATTTTTTTTTTTTTCATAAATGTTTTTCAACCTTAAGATGAGAGGGATTTGAGAACAAAAAGGCCTTTTTGCAAGTCTACCTGAGCACATCTTAAGCCAAACACCCTTCTCGGCAGGCCCGCAAGACAGCACACGACGTGCGAGGCGAAAGCGGCGGATGATGGATGTCTGTCTCCATCAGCGCCGCGCCGCCAAGTGACAGCTCGCGGTGACGCTGACAAGTGAGGTTCCAGTCGAGACAGATTGCCTTCAGGTGGCTCACTTTTCAAAATCTCGCCGAGAACGTGCCGCGCTTAACTTTCCTTTTGAAGGCGGAAGGGCTCTCGGTGTCTTTTTTTTTTACCTTATATGCCA